CTCCATCCATCCACCCATCTTCATCACTCATCTATGTCCATCCATCCTCCCCAAGGCATAGGCCCTGCTCTGGCCATACAGACATGATCATAGTGGAGGGCACCATCATCTTCCAGGACGTTTGATCCTGGAGGTATCAAGCCCAACTTGCCTTGACAGGGCTCACAGGAGCGGGGACATCAYGTTTCCCACCATGGCCATTGCAGGGCAGCTGGATGAGGCCAGGATGTGTCCGGAGAAGCAAATCAGCCATTTCCACCCCCTGCTCTTCCCCCTCAGCGTGACTCTTTTTAGAGCTCTGATGTTTGGTCCCCGTGGGGCTGTTTCGCCGGGCTCTCGCGGTTACCATGGTGAAGATGGGTGAGGAATTTCAAAGGGAATGGCTACAGTAAATGAACCCTCGCTATAAATAGCGTGTTTGCTTTTGGGGCTTTGGGAACTGCGGCCCGGCCAATAGGAGCGAGAGCGAAAATCAGCATCYGCGTAAAAATATTCCAGCAACTTGTGCTTCTTTGCAAAGTCCCGACTGGAAAACGGCACGAGGAGGGCAGCCCGCGTGCCCCATTCCAAGCTGTCCCCATACATCCCTCCCCACGCATCCTTTGGGGTTGCATCCTCTCGAGCTGGGGACCACCGAAGGTCCCCAAGCTCCATCTCGCACCCATGTCCACCCGTGGTCACTCTTTGGGGACCCAAGTGGCTTCCCACCACTCTTGAGGTGCCCGTGGTGGGCACCAAAGGCTTTGGACCATCTCCAACGCCAAGTGCTCAGCGGTGCCCAGCCGAGCTGGGCGCGACGCCGTCCCCCGCCGAGGCCGAAGGCTCTCCGGACTCTTCCTCGCGGCCGCCCAGCTGTGTGACTGGTTAATATTTCCCTGGCAGGGCAGCGAGGTTTCTATTTGCGAACGCACGTTCCCGCTGGTGCTCTCCAAAGAAAACAAGCCGGGAGTTGTTTGCATGAGCAGATTGGCATCTCCCGGCCCGGGATATGGTTTCCTGCTTTTTTTAGCCGGGCTCGCAGGAGACGAGGCGGCCTGCCCCCATCTGGCATCCTTCTCCTTCCCTCT